ATTTATAGTTATTTTCAATTCTTTCCAACTCAAAAGAATGTATTTAACGTTCCATCTTAAGACAATGTGAAAGCTGGGAGGCCGAGGTGGTTGGATGACTTGATCTCAGGAGTTTGAGACCAGCCTGGGCAACTTGGTGAAACCCTGTCTCTACAAAAGAAAAGCAAAAATTAGTCAGGCATGGTGGCATGTGCCTGTAGTCCCAGCTATTAAGGAGGCTGAGGTTGAAGGATGGCTTGAGCCCAGGAGACAGATTGCGATGAGCCAAGATTGTGCTACTGCACTCCAGCCTGGATGACAAAGCCAGATCCTGTCTCAAAAACAAACAAACAAAAACAAAATAACAACAGCAAAACAAAAAAGCCAAAGTAAAAGTGATGAAGTCTTTGCATGAGAAAGGGAAGAGGGGAGTTAATTCATAATGAACATCAGCAGTTGAGAGAGGATGTCGTCCCTGGCCCCCTTCAGTCATTTATAACATTTCACAAATGCAGGTAAGAAAGAGGCTTAATCTCTAATCAGAGAAACCAAGGTACACTTGCCTTGGTTATAGCTGCCTGGTACATGACTCAAGCACCATAATCACATTCCTTTAAGGTTCCAAATAATTTAGAGTTCCAATAACTTAAATTTGAAATTGTAGATTTTTTTAAGGAAAATTTGTATTATTTTAATTATTTTTATGCACAGAAAACTCAACAGTGTACTTTTAATACAGTTTAGTGGCAAGTTCTTTAGCCTTTGGCTTTTTGGGATTGGTGATGCAAGTCACAGACTTGGGACACAGGACATTGCCTCCCCAGTGACGGCAGATCTCATCGCATCTGTCATTGTAATTGGTCCTGATAGCTTCCACCAGCTTAGCCAAAGTTCCTTTGTCTTCTGAATTAACCTGTGTGACCGTGACACTGGTGCAGGTCTTCCTGTGGACTAGATGTCCCAATCTTGCCTTCCCCTTGAAAATGCAGTAAGGGACCCCCATTTTACGACACAGGGCAGGCAAGAAGACAGCCAGCTCAATGGGGTCCACATTGTGTGCCATCACCACCAGCTGAGCTTTCTTGTTCTCCACCAAGGTGGTGATGGTATTAACTCATGCTCAAAGGATAGTGTTCTCTTAGGGGGGATGTCCCCTTTGCCAGCAGCTTTCTTTTCCACCTGGGCCAACAGCTTCTTCTCTTGTTTTGCCTCTGGTCTGTACTTGTGGGCCAGCTTAAACAGTTGAGTAGCTGTTTGGCAGTCCAGGGCCTGGGTGAACTGGTTAATCACAGGAGGCACTTTCAGCGGCCTATACAGGATGGCTTGCTGCCGCTGCAACCTGATATAGTGGGGCCATTTCATAAAGAGGGTGAAGTCTCTTTTGGGGTGGATGTCCTATCCAATGCCAAAATTCTTAGACCCTTTCTCAAACAGGGGATTCACCACTTGCTTGGCCTCCTGCTTCTTCATGATGGCAGGGGCCGGAGCCACCTTCTTCCCCTTGGCCTTCTTTCCTTTCAGCATCTTGGGGGAGGGACGAGAGACGAAACTGTAGATTTTAACAGTGTGACACTCTAAGTTTCACTCAGATTTCTGGGTATAGTCAGAGCCGACGGTATAAAACGCATGGCATGGTTTCTGGCTTATAATAGGTACTCAGTGATAATTATTTTCTTTCCTGTCTCACCCACTGGTTTTGTACTTTAATTTTGATTTTGACAAACAATCGTTGTAAGTATCCGTCAATCATCTGCTGTCCCTGACCCTAGAGACAGGAATTTCTAAAACAAAAATACAGTAGGCTGTCATCTGTATACAAGCCATACAGACCCAGGATGAAAAAGAACAGTTACAGATGTCTCTACTAGACTCAATTCCTTAAGAATGTTTCTAAGAAGGTCAATGCATGTTAGACGGGCTAAGGCATCACATTTCTTAAGGATGACACATCAAGTAGAAGATACTAGCACAAATGATTTTATCTGATAATAAACACGTTCGCTTCATAGAGACATAAGGAAGGTGTTGGAGGATGTTAAAATGCAATAGTCCTCAACAAGGGTGACTAACACCTGTATTGTGTTCATGGAATAAGGAAGGAAATAGGAGAAAGAAATTTGGGGTTCACAGGCTGGTAGGAACCATTAGAAATTGTTTGCTAATTGTAGGGGAAAGATAAAAAGTAAGAAATACTTGCTTTATATAATTTTGTCTAGGTTAAGTATGGGGAGGAAAAATGCTAAACATTAAGGTACCTTGTGTTCTTAACCCTCCTACAGTGTTGAAGTCTCTGTCCTTGAAACAATCAGGAAAAAGACCAAAGTATCAACATTATTCATGAGGTGACTGCACACCTGCCTACAACTCTGGCCTCAATGAGTAGCCAGTGTATCTAGATTGGTCATCATGTTTCAAAAGCAGTTCCTCAGCTTTGCAGTTTTTGAGTGCACCTGGGGAGAAGCAGACACCTGGGGTTGACGATCTCTACCAACCAAACTCAGAAGAGACTAGTATTAAACCAGCAGCTCCGCAGCAATGATCAATTTACATTTGGGGGAAAAAATACTGTTTTTCTCATTTGATAAATGCTCTTCAAATTACAATGTAGAAGAAGAAAAAATATTTTCCTTCTACATTTTTAGGATCTTAACTGGGGCTCCTATAAGAAAAGTCAGATTAACAAGAGAAAAATAAACAGAAATGTAGTAACATGTGTAGCTCATGTGTATGTGGGAGAGACTCAGAGAGTAACTCAAACAGGTGGCTAGAACTTGGGTTTAAATGCCATTGTCAGCTAAAGCAAAGGAAAAAGCAAGTGGGGAGCAAATTATAGGGAGATGACCAGGAAGAGCATAGTAAATGAGGGAAGGGTTTATCATGCAGACTTGAGTCAAATACCTTCTCCACTGATAAGGGTCTCTTGTGATTTAGAATCACCTCTCTCCTTCTGGCACAGGGAAGGAGACCTCTGTAAGAATGGAGGTTTCCCTTGTGAATGCACATTTTCCTTACAAAAGGGTAATGTGTACTCTATTTTCAGAGCTTTCCTGTGTATCCTGTTTCTCAAAATAAGTAGTTTAAAATAATTCTTGTGCTACAGAGCATATATACTTTGTGTTGGCATATTATTTTGTCAGAGATCTGGGAAATGGGAAGAAATACCTCATTCCAAGCTCTCATATTATTGCAAAATCAGGATTCAGGATGGGGCAAGGGGCTTCTGATGGCTGTACAAAGAGATGAGAAGGTCTTTCATAAGCCAGATATCCAGATGCAAGAACAAAGGGATGAAGATTTCTTTCAAATGCTTTAAACGCAGCTGCCCCAGCAACTCCTACGCCATGGCTGCTGCACCACCGTCTCCACAACTACTCAGCTGCCTCAGCATCACCACATGAAGCTCTAAATTTGGAGGAAGGGGCTACTGCCCCACCTCAATATGATGAGGGAGTTGGAATGCTCTGTTCCTCCAAGACCCAACATGGCACTCAATTTGAACAGGGCAATTCTGTGACTGGAGCAGGGCAATTCCCACTTAGGCAGATGCCTATGGGTGGCTCAGACATAGAAGTGCAATCTGTCACAATTTGTAGGGTTAAATAAAACCCATCTGATGGGTTTTACTTTCCAACCTGACTTTGGCATAACATTACAAGACAAAGAAGAAAAAATATCTTACCCTAAAACATGTTTCTTTGCCACATTTTGAAATTGCCCTCAAAGCTATTTTTTGTAGGGGAAATCTGCAACTGTGAAGAATCTCAGGCTGGGCGCAGTGGCTCACACCTGTAATCCCAGCAGTTTGGGAGGCCAAGGTGGGCAGATTACCTGAGGTCAGGAGTTTGAGACCAGCCTGACCAACATGGAGAAATCCGGTCTTTACTAAAAATACAAAGTGAGCCAGATGTGGTGGCACATGCCTATAATTTCAGCTACTCGGGAGGCTGAGGCAGGAGAATTGCTTGAACCCGGGAGGCAGAGGTTGCAGTGAGCCAAGATCGTGCCATTGCACTCCAGCCTGGGCAACAAGAGGGAAACTCTGTCTCACACACACACACACAAAATCTCTAATAGCATAGCTAGATCTTTGTCTTCCAGGCCTTTCCAATCCTAAAGAGATTAAGATCAGAGAGGGAAAAAAATTGTCATCTCTTGTGTCTAAGGGCAGACTTCAAAACAATTGGCCTCCACGATCTTTATTTTAACCTGAACATTCCCTTTGTACCAATCCCAGGTCTTTAGACAAAACCAGCTGCCAACCAGAAAGTGTTTAAATTTACCTATAGCCTGGAGGCCCCCTTGCTTCCCACCAGCTTTGTGTTGTCCTGCCTTTCTGGACCAAACCAATGTATTTCTTAAATGTATTTGATTGATGTTTCTTGCCACTCTAAAATGTATAAAACCAGCTGTTCGCTGACCACCCTGGGCATGTTTTTCTCAAGACCTCCTGAGAGCTGTGTCGTAGGCCATGGTCACTCACATTTGGCTCAGAATAAATCTCTTCAAATATTTTACAGAGTTTGACTTTTCTCATCGAAAATAATAAGCTGCTTGGTTAAACTTCAGATACTGGCTACCTAATCATAACTATCTGGCCAACAGATTCGCTAGATACTCTTTCACCTCTCAATGAGAGTCCCACAGTTCACACAGTTCACGGTGTTATAAGTCGCTTTCCTCAGAGAAGTTTCCGTGCAACATAGCATAACAATCAGGGACTTCCCAGAACTTTGTCAGAAATTGAATGGAGAAGCCAGGTCTCTTGTTGTCTACTGATAGCACCAGATAACCCCTTTCTGGGGTCACCTCACTTTAGGGTCTTGCACTTCTTTTGTGCCCCGGAGTCAGTCTTTTGATGTTTGTAGCCTTTGCTTGAGGCCACTGTCCGAATAAACTCAAGTGTTCCAGATGAGATGATTCAGGAACAGATTCACATAATAAGGCTGTTACCCATCACCACTGCTGCTGCCAGTCAGCTGGAGCGCTGCATCACCCCCTGCTATTCCTTTCTCCACTGCTGCAGACTTCCTGGGCTCTGAAAAAAGGAGGAGGACGCAGACTCTGCTCTTCAGATCCACACACTGATCCGCACTACAACCACTGACTTGAACTCGGAGTCTGAGTAGGGTAAGAAGGGGTCTGCTGAGGATGCTTGGGCGATGACCAGGAGCACTGGAAGGAGACTGATTGAACTTTTAAATAGCAAAGAACGGAGAAGGATCCAAATCATGGAAAAGAAAGGCCTGAATTCCGGTCAGCCTCAATCCCACTGATACAGACTTTTCCCTGCCTCTCCCTTCCTTCACCCCAGTCTCTTCAAGCACAATGCATTAAGCTGCTTTCATCCTGCTCTTCTCTCCTCTGTAGGTCTTTATGACCAGGACAGGGTTCCACAGTTGGGAAGTATTGACCCTTTGTTCTGTGTCTGATGTGGGCATTTGACATCGTGAGAAGTGCTCTCACATACATGCATCTCATTAGACTCTCTCAGGCCTGTTGGGGGCTATTATTAGTTTCACCTGAGGACATCAGTGCTCAGAGTTGTAAATCAGGTTACAGATTCAGTAAGGACAGGAACATTTCTCATGGGGAGGACAGAACACTGGTTTAAAGGGTAGGCTCTTTCAAAAAAAACCCCACACTCCATGCTTTCACCAGAGAAGCCACTGTGGGGGCTCTTTTAGCCTTGGTACTTGATTGATTACAGGAATGTTTCAAATCTAGAATTCTGGCTGGGTGTGGTGGCTCACACCTGTAATCCCAGCACTTTGGGAAGCCGAGGTGGGTAGATCACTTGAGGCCAGGAGTTTGAGACTAGCCTGGCCAAACTTGGCCAGGAGAAACCTGTCTCTACTAAAAAAAAAAACAAAAATTATAGACTTGTGACACATATACACCATGGAATACTAAGCAACCATAAAAAAGGATGAGTTTATGTCCTTTGTAGGGATATGGATGAATCTGGAAACCATCATTCTCAGCAAACTGACACAAGAACAGAAAAACCAAATACTGCATGTTCTCACTCAAAGGTGGGTGTTGAACAATGATAACACATGGGCACAGAGAAGGGAACATCACACACTGGAGTTTGTTGGGGGGTGAGGGGCTAGAGGAGGGACAGCAGGAGGTGGGGAGGTTGGGGAGAGATAACACTGGGAGAAATGCCTGATGTAGGTGATGGGGGGATGGAGGCAGCAAATCACCATAGCATGCCTGTACCTATGCAAGAATCCTGCAAGATCTGCACATGTACCCCAGAACTTAAAGTACAATTTTTTAAAAATGAAAACAAAAACAAAAACAAAAACTAGCTAGGAGTGGTGACACACACCTGTAATCTCAGCTGTGTGGGAGGCTGAGACTGAGAATCTGTTGAACCCTGGAGGCAGAGATTGCAGTGAGCTGAGATTGTGCCACTGCACTCCAGCCTGGGTGACACAGTGTGACTCTGTCTCAAAAACAAATAAAAACCTCAAAACTGGAGTTCTTTTATGATATTTTCAATAAGCAGCTCTGACAAACCAAGCGATAATTAGGGGACTGGCCCCTGAGAAAGAATATGGGTAGTTAGTAATGAACATATGTTCCACGCAGGCTTTGGGGAAGTGTTATAAGGAAGTCAAGATTGGAGAAGTGTCATTTTGCAAGTCAGTGTAATTGCAGGCTGGGCTGTCTACTCAGAGAATCGAAGCCTTCCTGCCTAGGAACCACCTCCCAAGTAGTTACTCATCTTCTACATTTCCTTAAAGTGTGACCATCATTTCCACTTCAAGGACATAAACCTTAAAATACCATTCTCCTTTGGACACATGATCTCCTGAGAGTTGATCTGGTAAAAAGGAGCCAGCTGGGGCGTGATTGGCTCCTCAGGTTGGGTGAAAGAGAGGGAAGACAGGAGATGGTTAGAATTCTCAAAATGAAATTCATTTATTTTTTCTAACTTTGTGTTTGGCTCCCACAGGCTGAAGCATGTATTTAATTCTTAGAAACTCTATCCTCTAATGAGAATTATCATCTTCTCATTGGGGAACTAAATAGTAAAACTGCATCCAAGTGAGTAAGGAATTTTAAGGTGGAGCTCAGCTCTCCGGGCATTGTCTGGATAATGCTTTCCTTTCTCTTCTCTGTGGACACACAGGTGGCCCTGGGGACTGAGATGGCATCGTCTTTAAAGATCTGGGGCACACTCTTGGCCCTGCTTTGCATCCTATGCACACTGCTGGTACACAGCAAGAATGTTTCTTGGAGAGAATTCATGAAACTGCACTACTTAAGTCCAAGTCGAGAATTCAAAGAGTACAAATGTGATGTCCTCATGAGAGAAAAAGAAGCTCTGAAAGGCAAGAGCTCTCACATGTTTATCTATGTCTCATGGTATAAAATCGAGCATATATGCATTAGTGACATCTGGATGGATCGCTTCCGAAATGCATATGTATGGGTCCAGAATCCCCTCAAAGTACTCAAGTGTCACCAGGAGAATTCCAAAAATAACTACACAGAGAGCAGGAGCTTCAACTACATTGAATTCCATTGTAGCATGGATGGATATGTTGATAGCATAGAAGACTTAAAGATGGTGGAACCCATCAGCAACTAGAAAGTCTATGCACAACCTTAGGTATTGGTAGAGTATCCAGTGCTTCCTAAGTGGTGGCCCCTGCCTCCATCAATAGCCCCTACCATTCCCCACTTGCATTTATTTGTTAATGTTTTCCAAATACTTAAGGGTTATGAATCACATGATTTCTTGATCCCATAACTTTGCCTGTGTTGTTTCTCTGCCTGGAATACTCTTTTGTCTTCATTTACTTAATTTACTCCTAAACTTTTGTCAACATTCAGCTCATATGGCATCTGTTCTTGACTAACCCAAGACTTTCCTGATACTGGCTCTCTTGAAAGGTACCCAAGCTAAGCAATCTTCCCTTTGCTAAATAAAATTATGATTCCAATGTGTGTGGCATTCATACATGTTATGTCCACAGAGCAAGTACTGTGTGATTGGTATGGATGTGTGTGATCTAGACTATGCATGTGATTGATGCTGTGAAAGGGATTTAAGGTGTATTTCATGGGTGTATGTCTAATGTATGTAATATGTTTGTGTATATGACGACAGTATAAATGACTGTGTGCTTAGTTCGAGACAAGTTGTGATGTAGGCATTGATTGCAGCATCAATTTGAAATAATTGAAAGAGTCAGAATCCAGTTTTAAAGAGTTGATTTAAGCAAAAGGCTAGTAATGGGCATTCTGTGACACACAGACTCCAGAGAAATGGGGTCAGTGCTCCAAAGCTGAAAGTTAAGTTCTTAATTATATAGGAAAAAGATGAAAGAATTTAATAGGATTACAGGGGAATTGCTTGAACCCAGAAGCAGAGGTTGCAGTGAGCTAAAATTGCACCACTGCACTCTAGTCTGGTGACAGAGTGAGACTGTTTCAAAACACCAAAAAAAAAAAAAAAAAAAAAAGTAAGATGCAAAGTAAGAAATGTTTACTTCATACAATTTTGCCTAGAGCAGTATGGGCCGGGAAAATGCTAAACATTGAAGTACCTTGTGTTCTTCAGACTCCTGCAATGTGAAATGACTCTGGCCTTGAAGCAATTAAAGAAAAGACCAAAGTGTCAACATTATTTATTAAGTCACTGCACACTTTCCTAGAACTCTGGCATTAATGAGTAGCTAGTGTATCTAGATTGGTCATCATGTTCCAAAGGCAGTTCCTCAGCTTTGCAATTTTTGAGGGCACCTGGGATGAGCAGACACTTGAGGATGATCATCTCTACCAACCAACCTCAGAAGACACTAGTATTAAACCAGCAGCTCTGCATGTAGGATCAATATGCATATGAGAAGAAACAATACTGATTGTTTCTCTCAGTTGACAAATGCTCTTCAAAATGTATATAGGGGAGGAAAAATATTTTCCTTCTACCCTTTTGGTCCTTGGGGCCACTGTAACAAAAGTCAGATTAACAAGAGAAAATCGGAAGTTTAGTAACATGTGCATCTCATGTATACATGGGAGAAACTCAGAAAGCAACTCAAAGAGGTGGCCAGAACTTGGGCTTAAATGCCTTCAGCTAAAGCAACGGAAGAAGCATGTGAGTGAGTAACTTACAGGGAGATGACCAGGAAAAGTATAGTAAACAAGTGAAAGGTTCCTCATGCAGATTTAAGTCAGTACCTTCTCCACTGACAAGGGTTTCCTGTGATTTAGAGTCACCTTTCTCTTCCTGGTACAGAGAGAGAGAGAGACATCCTTAAAAATGAAGGTTTCCCTTATAAACACAAATTTCTCTTACAAAAGGGTAATGTGCACTCTATTTTCAGAGCTTGTCTTATGTATACTGTTTCTCAAAATAAGCAGTTCAAAATAATGTTTATACTACAGAAGCATATTTTGGGGTGGCATATTCTGGTCTCCTATACTAGGTTCTCACAAATACCTCATTTAAGTAACTCTTTAAAGCTTGCTTTTATTAAGGAGTTAGCCGATGGTTATTCAAAACAGTATAGGAGGAAAGTAGATTTAAGTGCAATTAGTATAATAACTTTGTGTTGTTTCTCTGGCTTTCCTGGTATCCACTCCTTATTTAAATAGTGGCATATTGACTCCTCTTAGGTATCTATCTACCCTTCCTCTTTTGTGTGCAGTATTGGTGAGGCTGTTCACTAAGGTCTGCAGTCCTGTCTACTGAGCCAAGCGAAGCTTATGAGATCTAAGCTAGCCTAACTGAACTCTCATAGGAAACAAAAATATGTCACCCAAAATAGGCCTCCAGATTCGAAGTCCTGTCGATTAGCGTTTTTGCTGCTCTGCATCCTTACCAGCTTTGATGATGTCAGTTTTCACTGCATTTTAATCATTCAAGTAGATGTGTACTATTATCTCATTGTTTTAATTTTTAATTTTCTAATGATAGATTGAAGGGATTTACAGCCCACCAATATGGCAAAACTGCCCTTGCAGGATTATGAAGTGTTGCAAGCCAGGCTCTAGGCAGAATTACACATTAATCATAGTATGGAACACTTCAACCCACTTCCCTGTAGCTGCTAACTTCCCAAGTAGCATGCTGATCACCTGCTCCCCAATTGTTCCTATAGGTAGAATCTCTGATACTAGAATCATGAAACCTTTTGGCTTTAAGAATTGCTTAAGGAGGCCAGGCACAATGGCTCACGCCTGTAATCCCAAGCACTTTGGGAGGCAGAGGCGGGAAGACCATGAGATCAGGAGGAGACCAGCCTGGCCAACACAGTGGTGAAACCCCGTCTCTCCTGAAAGTACAAAAATTAGCCAGGCATGGTGGTCTGTACCTGTAGTCCCAGTTACTCGGGAGGCTGAGGCAGGAGAATTGCTTGAGCCCGGGAGGCAGAGGTTGTGGTGAGCCAAGATCGTGCCATTGCATTCCAGCCTGGGTGACAGAGGGAGACTTCGTCTCAAAAAAATAAAATTGCTGAAGGTGTTTCTCTGATTCTGAATTCCAGTGCAACAGCTAATGCGAACTGGTCTGAAGACCCCTACCAAGGAAGTGGCTTGGCACAAGAATGCTGAGTTTCTTCATTTCCCTGTCCCATGACCTCACTCCCTCACTTATTGATGAATCAGAAATCTTCACACTTTAGCCCTTGTCTAGACTCCTCAAAAACCCTATCCCCAAACCTTTGAGGGAGGTAAATTTTAGGTTACCACCCATCTACTTATTTGGCTGCCCCATGAATGTTAAATTCTTCTCTGTTTCAATTCCTATTGTCTTAGTATATCCATTTGCTGTGCATCAAGTAACAAACCTGTTATGATTATAGTGGCATGAAAATTATTTTAAACTGAAAATTTCTGGACAGACAGAAGCTGCAGAAAGAAACACCATCTAAACTTAACCAAGTCCTAAAAATTCAGCTGCCAATGATCCCCTTCCACGGTATTTTCTTGTTTGAAAGCAGACAGCCCCTTAGCACTGGTAAGTATAAATTTAGCTGCCATAAACCTCCATACAGGGAATCTTCCAGCCAGGATAATCAATTTAACTATTTCTATTAGCATCAAAAACTTACTAAAACCTTACATATTTTCCTTTTGAAGCCCCACCAAAAATCTTTTATTTTATTTTATTTTATTTTATTTTATTTTATTTTATTTTATTTTGAGACAGAGTTTCGCTCTTGTTGCCCAGGCTGGAGAGTAGTGGCGCAATCTTGCCTCACTGCAACCTCCACCTTCTGGGTTCAAGTGATTCTCCTACCTCAGCCTCCCGAGTAGTTGGGATTACACCCTGCTAAATTTTGTATTTCTAGTAGAGATGGGGTTTTACCATGTTGGCCAGGTTGGTCTCAAACTCCTGACCTCAGGTGATCTGCCCACCTCGGCTTCCTAAAGGGCTGGGGTTACAGGTATGAGCCACCACGCCTGGCCAAAAACACTTTTTTAAAAAGTTGGTATATAAACTTTGCCTCTGGTTATTCAGCAAGTTACTCATTATGTAATACTCCTGTGTGCATGTGTAAATAAACTTTGAATTTTCTCCTGTTAATCTTTTTCTATTTTACAAGCTCCTTTGCCACCACCTTTAAAACCTAAAATGAGAGAGGAAAAGTTTTTCTCCAAACAATGAGACACTGAGCATCTCTTCATTGCTCATCTGCCATCTGTATATCTTCTTCGGTGAAGTGTTGCGGTGCAGAGAATCATACTACAAACTATGATGCATTGGTATTCTAAGCAATATTGAATTAAAGAAAACTAGTAAGTTCTTAGAAGCTGCCTTGGAACCAAACATTTTCTAATCTCTCATTCCTCCCCCTCAAATGCAGAGAGGAGCACTCTCTGGGAGTTCCCTTGTCTGGGTGAGGAAAACTTCTTCCCAGAAATGCAATTGTCTTAAGACCCCCCTTTCTAGGAATCTCATCAGATAAACAGGAAATATGAGTCACCAGAAAAGAGACTGAAAGTCCACACCACACTCAGATAGACTTTCATCTGTTCTTCCAAGAACAGCTCTAAAGGAGTACCTAAGAGACTTTATCTGTTTAATAAGACAATCTTTGTTCATAGTGCAGTTCTACTCTTCACTTTCCCATAACTTATCACCCTTCCATTCAGCTTCCAAAGAGACTCATTTACAAACTATTGTCTACTCTTTGGGGCCATTTCCCTAAAAAAAAAATTAAAACTCCTCAAAATTGCCTACATTTCCATCATGTCCCTCTCACCTATGAAGAAGGCATATGAATTTCAACTATTCAGTCTTTCCTTGAGTCTCATAATTTGTGTGGTTCCCATGATTATGCACAATAATAAATTTGTATGCCTTTTTCTCCTGTTAATCTGTCTATCGTCAGTTCATTTCAGAAGATTTGACCCTTCAGAGGGAGAGGAAAAATTGTCTGCCCCATACCAATTCAGATGTTTTGACTATTTTTCTTTTTTTTTCTTTTTTTTTTTCTTTTTCTTTTTTTTTTTTTTTGAGACAGAGTTTCACTCTCGTTACCCAGGCTGGAGTGCAATGGCACAATCTCGGCTCACTGCAACCTCCACCTCCTGGGTTCAGGCAATTCTCCTGTCTCAGCCTCCTGAGTAGCTGGGATTACAGGCACGTGCCACCATGCCCAGCTAATTTTTTGTATTTTTAGTAGAGACGGGGTTTCACCATGTTGACCACGTTGGTGTCGATCTCTTGACCTCGTGATCCACCCGCCTCGGCCTCCCAAAGTGCTGGGATTACAGGCTTGAGCCACCGCGCCCGGCCCATTTTGACTATTTTTCAACTAGGTTGTTGGTTTTCTTACGGTTGAAGTTTTTTCAGTTCTTTGTATATCTTGGATAATGTTTATCAGATATATCTTTTGCAAATATCTTCTCTCAATCTCTGGCTTGTCTTTTTATTCTCTTAATAGTATCTGTTGCAGAGCAGAAGTTTTTAATTTTAATGAAGTTGCACTTA